TGTGGGCGCAAATAAAAATTCGTAAAAAAATCAATATTTATTGTTTTTCTTTCAAATTTTCAGGACATATTGCTAACATGTTAATGATCAATTTGTGTTATTAATAATCTGCCATATCCTGTGCTAATGAGGATAAGTGACTTTTACCTCGAGTTTTGCATTATTATTTTGCTTACTTTGTGTGTTAAATTTATTTTTTCAGGAAACTCCTGGCTTTCAATGATGTAATTAATATTTCTCTGAAAAGCCAATTTTATACACTTAAAAATGAGATATTGTAGGTGTTATTGCTGTACATATCTGTTGAGGTATTTTAAATAAAAGATGGTATGTGAAAAATTGTTGCGTTAGACTCACTGCCTTCAGGGAGCTACCTTAGCCATGTGTGTCGGAAAAGTGACGTCCGCCTTGTAACCTCGCAACGTGAAACCAAGGGTGGTCTTAACGATATTGTGTTTTTGTAAAAGAATAGGCTAAGATCGACGCGATACGAAGCGTGTGACGACTAGAATAAAGATAAGAAAAAAACTACGTGAGTGACTAGTGTTGCTGTACTAGGATTTCCAACATGTGGTCACGTGGATTGAAGTCGATTTCCAGAGGAAGGTAATACACACCTAAGTGATGAAGATTTGCACAAGCCGACTCGACGTGTTTTAGTTGAGTCGATGGCGATTGGCATAAAATCCTTCAGATCCTATCTTCTCGGATCGGGACCAATAAATGGAGGTCCCGTCTCCTGCAGGGCTGGGGTAGGAGACGTTAATTTCCCACGCATGAGATTACTGTGTGATAGATGTCCTCCCCTGGGGTGGGATGGTTAGGTTGGGTTTAGGTGGGGGAACCTAGTAGGGGACTACTCTTCCTACTGTTTCCCACCTGTACAACGTACAAATCTTTCGAATACAACATTACACTTCATTAGGCGTAAGTATTAAATTTAGACGAATCTACACGATTCGTACGGGTCGACTCGACTCGTCTTTATTAAAGTCCACTTGTCTCATCGGAAGTCTCTTCGTTCAAGATGCGCCGATCACTGCGAGGAAAACTTTTGCGGTAAATGGCGCGCAATCCATTTACGTCTTCTTCTAAACATAACACCATCTTTTTTGTTCTATGTACAAACATAATGTTATCGACTTTGCCGATCCTAGCAGTATGCAGGACTCGTGTCACTTACGAACTTCGTAATGGACCTTTTTAATATCACATAGATTGTGTTACGACGGTAAAGAGGTTTCCTTGTGCCAAACATCCTGACTCTGTGTTACGACGGTAAAGAGGTTTCCTTGTGCCAAACATC